GCATTCTCTCTAATGACCACCAGGGGGCGACTCCTCTGGTTGTATAGAAGTCTATGAGAAAATGACTCTACTTCTCTCTTGATTTATTCCCTCAGTAAACATTGTAAACATGAGTTTATGGTCTCAATCTCTAGTTTCAAGTCTTCTTCAACACAGCATGATGTTCATGTGGTAAATGATGGTTTGTCTCCTGGTTGTTTGTGAGGATGCCTGTTCAGCGGTCCAATCAAAATGTGTGACTAGACTGCATGCACCTACAAGAGGAACACATCCCTCTACTTTTTTTGCTTCTTATGTAGCAAAATGGGACAATAATCTGAATTTCGTTGTGCAACCGTGTTATATAATGACAAATAAAATAACCTTGTAACCATGTAACACAGGCACCCAATGTATACTAGTATTACAGAACTGTGTCAACGTCTGCATCCACTGTCCATCATGCAGTGCACGTCCATTGATATTAGGGACTTAATGGTTATCTGACTACACTGGCTAACCAACAAATATGAAAACAAAAGATCCATCAATAGTGAAATGATTAAGCAGAGCAGATACTAATCCAAGCAGGCTTTGTAGACTGTATAGCTCAGACAATCAGCCATTCTTAATCGCCATTAACCAAGAGTGAGGACCTCCAATACAGCGGCCAGACGATGCGTTACAGCAAACATTTGACATCAACAAAGACAACACACAACAGCTGATCCATGACTCAAACTGTGCTTCTGTAAGACACAATACTGGACTTTGAGTGGGCGAAGACTGTTTCTGTTAAACAGCAGACGGTGTGTTCTATTTGACAGGAAGTGAGAACGCTTTACTGTCTGTCTGACTAAGACACTGTCAACGTATTATTACTGAAAACTGATTTAAGGATTATATCCAAAAGTTATCAGAAACACATGGAAACCATGAGTCAAACTCTGGTGTCATACAGCTTTTATGAGGTGATGTAGAGAGGTAGCTAGAATTTAGATGCATTGTGTGTTTTGTAGTCTGCATTATAAGCATTTGTTAACTGAATAAGCATGAATTGACTTTTTTTATGTCACCATAAAACACAGCAAACACACTTGACCAAACATTTGGAAGATGTTGTGAGTGTTTGCACGCTCTCTTCAGAGATGTTTGTCCTCTATGTAGACGTATGCATTTATTCTCCTTTAATTAGATGCATTTCCATTGCTTTTCATGCCACTATAGCCACTCATTTACATCCCAAAGTACGGACTGCTGTTCATTTTTCTTTGCCGTTTTCTATTTTCAAACATCAACACATTACAGAGAAAAATTACTAATTGCTAAATTTATTGCATAAATTACGGCAAACTCAGTCCAGAGCTTTCCACACAGTATACATGCCACACAAAGTAGATCCTCTACTGAACACAATGACCTTTATTTCTTCACAACTGATGTATAATGTCTGCAGCTCTCTGAAGCTGCATCGGTTGGACAGCATTCGGGTTTAACACTGCAGCTTGTGTTTGGTTCCCAAGAGACAACATTAATAAATTGGTATTATAAATAAATTGTTCTGGCAGATTCGCTGGTATGAAAACAGCGGGGTGTTTTTGGCTACACAATTTGCAACTCTCCTAATTGAGAGGATTCAGAGCGCCTTTGAAAGACTGAGAGGGCTGCAGTGCATCGCGCCATTCAGTAGACGGAGGGGCACGGCGCCAGACTGACAACATTCGGAGAGGTTGGCAGCATCCAGAGCTGCACTCCAAGAAAACGGCAGCGGGCAGCGCTTCAACTATCGCTGTCTGCATACAGCTTCTGGTTCAGTAGGCAATGATATGTAATCCAGTTACAGCGCGGGTGCTGAATTGCTGGTTTTGTGAAGGCCGATAGGGTTCATGGTGAGGTCAGTTGGGAGTTCATTGTTTCGTTTGGTTTTCTGCACATTTATTATTTAACATATGTATAAGTGCTGCAGTCAGCAACAGCAGACAAACTAATGTGCGACTTGCTGGTGAAGAAAGTGGAACATTTAGAAGTTACAGAGTCTGAGGAGATCGGTGGAGCTAACATGACTCCATATTAATGAGAACGTTGCTCTGTGTTTGCTGATGTGTCTGTTTGCTAACAAGTTCGGCATATCAACTTTACAAGGTGATAATGTGTAAATGTTGAGTTCTCAGCTTGTTTTGCTGCCCCCAGTGACCAAAATGTGAATTAATTCTGCTTTAAACTGGGAATCAACCAAATCCAGCTCATAGCCTCGGGTTGACTTTCATTTGTTTTATTACAGAATGGAAGTTAGTTCCAGTCTTTAAGTAGCAGTCAGCCGAGGAGCAGGATCACATCTCCAAAGTCTACAGGGAACCAGAAGCTTAGTTTCCAATCAATCTTCATGCCAAACATTACCTGCAAAGACCTGCAGCAGACTTTTCCACAGCTGACATTGTCAAAAATATGGTTTTGCACCAGCCATCCTCCAGACGAGTCAGAAGCTCGTAGTAACTCACATGAATGTTGGGTGTAGATAATGACCACAGGTATTTGAAACTGACTGAAAGCTTTTTACGAGGACTCCTTCATGTTCTGTTGGTGTTTTTCAACTGCTGCCGTCACTACGAGCAACCACGGACGCATTCAGGCCGAGGGTCACCAGTTAACACGGTCACTTGTTGACCTGGAACACCGGCGGTGTCTACGGCTGAGCTATTAACCGTGTTGACGACCATTCTGCCGTACTTCCGGTGTCAAACAGCGTAGGCGTACTGTCGTATGTCATTGTTAACGAACTGTAAAACCTGACCTGAAGGGCGCCTGATCAGGGTGCTACTATATAATAGTGTTTTATATTTCTGACATTTAATTCCGCTCTTCACTGTCTTCCCCATAAATATGAGTCATTGTGTAGAGGAAGCTGTTATCGGCACACACAACCAGTTCCTCTCCTGGCGAGTCACCTTCGGACTCTGTGAAACTGAAGAATCTCATCAGACTCTTTGTCACTCAGACAGTCCGAGCGACCGACCAGAACAAATGTCGTCTCTCTGTGAGGCTGTCTGTGCTCAGCCCAACGTGTCACATCTATTTGTCTGCATGGTGTGTGTGTGTGTGTGTGTGCGTGCGTGCGTGTGTGCGTGCGCGTGTGTGCGTGTGTGTGTGTGTTCTGTTTTATCTCCCTCTGGTCGTCTCTGGCTGTTCACAGTTTGAACAGAAAAGCTTTCTGCTGGGCGTTCTTTGCATGGAGGTCATGAAACCCATCAGCAGTGCTTTTCAAAAACTCAAACTCCAGACTTTAATTACCTTTAATCTGACATTTCTGTGGTTTATTCAGTGGTTTCTAATTCAGGATTTGCAATTTCTAAAGTAAAAAATATGCAATATTTCTGTTGATGGGTAAAACAAATCTAATATGAATACGACTGGGTTAGTTTTTGGTACAGAAACACATAAGAGATGCAGTGCAGTTACATTGAAATGAAGATGAAGATTGGCCTTCAATTTCCAGCTGTTTGCTTCAGATCGGACCACTTGCAACAGAGGGGGTCGGAGTTCAGAAGCCTGGGTGTGGCATTAATGTTATTAGTATCGTCTATAATCTTTCCTACGACGAGGCAAAATGTCTTCAATAAAAAAGGACCAATGAGGCGGAAGGACGACAATAACTACTACAGTTTAAACATAAAGTTTGAACTAAAATGTCAAAAGTTGTGAACTCGTTTTCACTCTCAACTCGTTAAGCTCGGTAAGTGCTCCGCGGCGTCTAGATACATACGCACCGAGGAGTCTTTCAACTACCTCTGTTAACCCACCAGCTTCACTGTTAGACGCTCAGAGCAACTGAAGTAGTACAATCTGTGAGAAAGTCTGCGTAGGTGGGTCAAACAAACACAGGACTTTAACCCAGGAGGTCACTGTTTGTGTCCCGTGTGAAACTAAAACTTTGACCTATCTCGTTAGGGGCCGTTCACAAGTTCATTTTTTGTGGCATCAAACAATTTTTTGTTAATGTAGACGAGTGGAAGGCGCGCTTAAAAGCGAAAGCAACGCCGTTGCGGTGTGGAAGCGTCATCAAGCGCATATTTTTCATGGTGCTACTGCTGCACCACATGTCAAGTTAACGTCAAGTTCATTTTTGAAAAGACACTATGCATGGAACGAGCGTACATTGACACGCCGTCCCTGACACGTCCAACACTGACACTGAAGCGTTACAGTTTGAAGTGTAGGGCCATCGCCTCGGTATTCAACCAGTTTGGAGTGAGAGTGTGTTGACATAAACGCTTTGGCCGTCAACATCAGCTATCTTCTGTTTACTGAACTCTGTTGTTGTTGTTGTAGCTGGACTGTGCAAGGACATTTGCTTCAGTAACCTCTGAAGCAAAAAAGCTATCAGCCTTCTTTGCTCTCCTGTCAGCTTTCCTCTACAACCGTGATTGAAAACTACCTCATGTAGAAGAAAAAGCAACAATACAAGAACTAGAAAAGGCAAAACTTTCCTCAGAAAATGTTTGTGTGCTCAGTGACTTTGAGTTCTGCCTTTGTGCTTTCTATTCGCAATGTTAAGCTGGAATGTTGCTACAATATAACCATATACTCTTTATAATAAGTAGACGTAGTCATCGTAACATCACCCATTGGTTTGTGGACTGCCGTTTTCAAGCCTCAAGTTCAGCATTTTTGCCACCACCATCTTGGATTTTGGCCGTCGCCATCTTGTTGTTTTGTAACCAGTGAACAGGAAGTGATCATATATGGACTGAGGAGGAGTGACGTAGAGATGGCGTATACGTCTCTGGTAGAGACCTGTCAATCACCGTGTAGCCCCGCCCTAAAGCATCCCCTGCTTTATGGTCTGTTTGACTCTAAATGGACCATAATGTAGTAAATGAACATCATGCTGTATTGAAGAAGACTTGAAACTAGAGATTGAGACCATAAACTCATGTTTACAATGTTTACTGAGGAAATAAATCAAGAGAGAAGTAGAGTCATTTTCTCATAGACTTCTACACAACCAGAGGAGTCGCCCCCTGATGGTCAGTAGAGAGAATGCAGCTTTAACACATGAAGCATCGGCTTCACTTTTCAGAACTGGAGGTTGCAGCCTGAATATAACTAAGGCATTGCCAGGTTGCTACTTAGGTTGTTACTCTGAGGAATATAAGAGCAAGGTTTGCAACAAACAATGAAAATACAGTAATAAAAGATTACGCAACAAAACCTCCTGTGAGCCTTTTTGATCATCTCAAAAACAACACTCCTCTTCTTATCACTCCCCAAACATAATATTAATGATTTACGTATTTATTTATAGTTTGATCCAGTAGAAAACTCCTAAAATAAAAGAAACCTACAATCCAATTTAGGGATTTGTTTTTCCTCATGGAGAACGCTCACTTGAACTAATTCAATCTAATGACTGTTTCCAGGAGGAAATCTTGTGTCTCATGTGGACATGCTCCGCTCTCTATCCCCAGAGACACAGAGTGGTTTCCCAGAGGATGAGAGTCCTCTGAGGAATTTGCTGCTATTTCTCTTCCCCCTTTTCTTTAAAGTCAACTCAGGACAACATATAAATACAGTATCAGAAGGTTATTTATCGCTTTCTTATCTGAAAACCCATCCAGACTCAGAGAGTGCTCCACAGAGTTGTTTCAGCTTCATATCCAGAGGTTGTGACGGTTTTCAGACTTTCTGCTTTTGAAACCAAAGCCGTCCTATCAGGTTCATCAAGTTCATGACAAGCCGGACAGGAAAAAAACACAACAGTTATGGAAATCCACTGGGTCACGTCCAGAGTAAACGCTGGAAATCACATAAACCAAACAAGAAAGCAAACTGAGACGACGGCTCGGCGGCTTCTTCTTCTTCTTCTTCTTCTTCTTCTTCTTCTACAAATTAAACTCTTTGTGTTTGTTTAAAGCTTGAAGTTTGTATGTGCAGGACAATGGGGCTGACAGCCAACATCCACAAACACCATGCATTGTTACAGTTTACAGCCTCTTAAACATTTGCCCTCAAGTGACTTCAGAAGAGAAGAAGTTTTTCCACTGTGACTCATTTTTCTTACATATATATCTTTTCCTGCTTTTTCCATACAAGCAGTTCTTTGAAGCGACGCCAGCCTCACCTTGAGACACAGTTTCATCGTTACATCTAAAGCTACAGGTCTTATGCAGACTTCCCTGCAGCTCAGTGTGACGGGTGTCTTATCTTTGGAAAACTCCCGATGAGAATTTAAATTGAACTTCTGTCAGTTTAAGCGAGGCCCGGCCACTGAGAACTCCTTTGTAATGATGGAAAGTAAGTAAGAGAACTTACAAAGCCTTTCATATAAAGGTTATTTTGGTTTTCTATAAAGAGAGAAACTTTTCAACCCTTTCATACGGACTCTTTTCTGTCTTTTACTTCATAGTCCCATGAAGTAAACAGGAGTGTTTTATTGCCAAAGTGCTGCCGCTTTGACCTCTGCTTCTGGTTTCTGTTGTGCTGCTGATGGACCGTCCTCATCGAGCCTCATCGAGCCTCATCGAGCTGCTGGATTTTAAAGGGCATCAACTAAAAAGCCTGAAATGTAGAAGGTGGTGCTGATTTGTCGAGGCCACGACGTGACATTTACCAGGTGACATGGAAGCAGGACCCGCTCTGCTGACGGGCCGACCCATTAAAACCTCTTCAGAGACAAAGAGAGGACGAGGAGATACGGGGTTACAGACTGCAAAGAATCTGTTATCCACAAATACTGAGGAGGGCTGCAGTCATGTAAACGGATCGGGGAGATTGTTCCGCTTCATTTAAACGGTGATAGCAGATGAGAAGTGTGTCAGACCACAAGTTCAGTCCTGTTACTATCATAAGGGAGGTGGAGCTGCTACAGAGGCACTATTTATAATCAGAGAGCTTCTTCTTTGCCTTCTTTCTGATTTTCCATTTAACTTTTACAAGTCTGTGGCTCACAGGCTCACAGGCGGCCATGTTTCTTCTCTTAAAAGCCTCAGGAATCTCAAACGTTATTCAAAGTCACATAAATAGGGAATTTGTTTGGGACTGTTTTCAGCCACGGATTAATACACAGATTGAAGATTAATCTTCATTCCTTCACCACAACAAAGACAACCAGACGAGGAAGAAGTAATTATTTCTGCTCGCCTTGTACCAGTTTTGTTCGTTATGCATTGAAGACGTAGTTTTATGTAGCACCCGTTTAACATGTTTTTATTGCTGACACTGATTTCTCTGTATCAAATGTAATAATATGTGAAACAGGAAGAATATACAGCCAGATGAATGTTGGCTTCGTACTGATTCTACAAACCATGGATACCTTAAATGTTGACGTTTCTAAACCAAAAAAGTTTCCTGAACAAGTTTCATATTCAGCCTTTTACAAAACACACAATGACACGTGGTTAACGTCAAAGGATTGGTTAGGTTGAGGCAACAAATGTAATGTCATCATTCCTCTGGTTTGTCTTATAAGACAGGTACATTTTTTGCATTTCTTTGTCCGTTATCATCATCCAGATCTATATCTGAAGGAGTGTAATGATTTAGTCTTTTTATTTACGCTTGCTGATAAACTGCAGCTTTATGATTTGTTGTTTGGTGGAAGCGATCTAACGGGCTACTGCGTGACCTTATTTTTGGGGCTGACAGCTTACTTGTCACCGTCTGAACCGCAGTGACAGAGTGAACACCACCCATCTGGTGCCGCAGGCAGTTAAAAACAAACACCAAATATGGTCCAAGCCCTGGGCTTGTGCTGCTGACGGAGAGAGGCCGGGAAGAAGAAGAGTCCTTGACTTACGGTCATGAGCTGGATCATTTCAGCTGGCGTTCTCTGCTCAGCTTCCCAAAAACACAGAGCACCCAGTCTGTGGAAGTTCACTCACTGGATAAGAAACCAGGCCACAGGTCACAAGTCTCTGCTCCACAAACAGCCCCACAAAAAGAGGACTCAAACTATTCGGCTCGTCCGGCTCATCCGTGCGTCCGGCGAGGGTCTAGCGGAGCATATTCCACTTCGCATGTTTCCTCATAAACAAGTGCTGACTCATGGAGCGGCCTGTAGCTGTGGGTTGTCAGCAGGTTTAGCATCAGGACACATAAACTCTCCCTCCTGCAGGGGAAGTCAAGAGTCCCGTGAATCAGATCGCTCTGCATTTCTCAATTGTTTCTGGGGATGTTCTTGTTTTTGTCTAATGTCTAAACTACATTAATGCCGCTGCTGCGTCTCCGCTGCTGCGTCTCCGCTGCTGCGTCTCCGCTGATAATTTAAGCGGCGCTATCGCTTTAAATGTGAATGTTTGGATGAGTTTACACTTTGTGACGAAGGGCCCCTTCTTGTTTTCTTTATAGCAACCTTGAGGCTGACTGATGGCTGTGTGTGTGTGTGTGTGTGTGTGTGTGTGTGTGTGTGTGTGTGTGTGAGAGCACTGGAAAGTGCTTGAACTGCTAGATGGTAATCACCTCCTTACTGCAACAAGACACACAGGTTTGTACTTCTATACATGTGAGGGCCCTCATGGCATGATGCATTCTGGGTCTTCTTCTCTTCCTCCATCTTTGCTCCGAGGTTATTCATGGCCGGTAGAACCCCTTGGAGTGTAAGAGGGTTCTTGGTGGAACCCCCTGGGTGGTTTCTTTTTAGCACCCGTAGAATGTTCTGGATACATCCTTCCTTCTGGGTGGAACTTTTTAAAGATGGTTCTAGTTCTACTCCCCCCCTCCGGAAAGGGTTCCAAGTAGAACCTTTATAAAAAGGTTTACCGGGAAGCAAAAAGGGTTCTCCTATGAGGACAAGCCAAAGAATCCTTTACGGTTCTGGTGAGCACCTTTATTTCTGTCCATTATCTCTCTTGTGAGGTTTCATTTGTATTGAGAGTCGGTTTTCAGGTGTGAAGTTCAGCTCCGTTCTGCTTTTGTTCACTGGGTGCGTTGATCAGATGATGGACAGTCCTTCCTCTAGCTTCTCTACACTCACTGTTCAAATATTTAGGAAGGTGAGGTCACTGTATTCCCTCGTACTCTTCACATAACTGTGAGAACGCTCAACAACAGTCACAGTACAAATAACTCCGGCCTCCAGCAACTGAAGTTTCCAGCTCTCCTGCTCTACTGGATTTTGAAGCCTTTATTTTGTGGCTTCAGGGAGCTTCGCTGTCATCTTATCATTCACAGACAGAAAGGACACATTTGAGCAGAGTTGAGGTGGGACGAGACGGACGAGAGACCCCCCCAATCATCACGATGTTTAGGCCTAAATACCGTCTGAATCAAACAGCACTTCTCAGAACCACCGCTGACAGACAGACATTAATCCTCCTTTGCATTGACTGTGTTTATTATGTTTATGGTTCTGGCCGGCTGACAAACAGCTTTCCTATCAGGCCACGCAGGACATGGCTGCCGGCCAAACGGCGGCCCTTTATTGCATTAAATTAAATCAGACCACATCAGCTGAGAGGATGGCCGTAAAGTTGGCTGCACTTGAACTGTGAGTCCGCGTATGTACGTGCAGGTTAACGCTCGTCTCGGGGATACTGAGCCGCAAACCTCGTTGCCGAAACCGCAAATTAAACGTTTATCTGGCAACATGTACTTTAAGGTGGGTTGTGAGTGGTTCATTGCTGCTCCCGCCTTCCCGGTGCGTGATATGCGGTCTTTATACTTCTTTGTTCATGAAGTATATCAGCGTTGTGAAACATTTGCTGTTTATGTTCTCACACGGTCACTGGTTTTGTAATTCTGCAGAACGTTAGGCCTTAATATGATCTAAACTTCAGCTGGTAAAAAGATGCATCACTGGGAAATGTGGCATGAAGCGCTTCCTCTAAACCGTACAATGTAAATGCTCTTCTTCAGTGAGCAAATATGAAGAATGATTTATGGATATGTGTCTCAGATAAAGAGGAAGCCTCATGACCTGTGCTCCATCTGCATAAAACACATATTTACCTTCTGAAGTTGACGTTTGTCCAAAGAGCTCTCCCGTGTCGCCTTGTCTTATCTTTTCATTGCTCTGTACGGGTGTTCGTGCTCTCACGATGGTGTTTGCTTTAACTGTTGAGGTGTAGAGCTGGAACTTGTCATGTAGTTTGACAAATGTGCAGTCTGGAACCTGGTTCATGACAAAAATCATGGAGCACAATGCAAATCTGAGGGAGAGAGAATCTAACAGACGACATCTTCACTTTCTCTTCTGGCCCACTGATTAGAACAGATTGGATTTTAAGTTAGTTTCAATCCTTATTTGTCGAAAAGACTTAAAGTGTGAAGTTGCTGTGACCCAGAAATCAGATGAGTGGATGACTTGTTGAGACATTGTTACTAAATGACCATCCAAGAGCAGATTTTGTGCTCTAAATCGGGACGTGGAAGTTGTTTAATGCTTATTCAGTGTGTATTTAATCTGTGTGCACTCAGACCTGCAGCGCAGTAAGTCTGTGATTTGTTCTTAATAAACTTCACCATCTCCCAGTGCGGTCGTTCCCTTTTACGACTCATGGAAGGTTTGGTCCTTAATTGCTCTTGTACACTTAATTCAGAGAGAGGTTTTGCATTATCTCTGTCTGTCTTCATTTCATACTTGGTTGTGAGGTTTTATGGTTCTGCAGCGTTCACTTGTGTTGCTGTTCTGCACGGTCTCGTACACCAAAGGGAAAGTGCATTCAAATGAGAACAACCTGTGAAGCAGTGATCACTTTTACAGGTTTCATGAAAGAGTTTGTTTAGAAATGCAAATTAATCAATATCCTATCAAATATGCGCTGATCTGCATTAATGTCCAGATCATAAATCTGAACATCAGATGAATCATTTGGACATATTAGAGTCAAAGCTTTTTACAGAGCGGATTTTGAATATCTCTTTCTATCACTACATAAATCAGAAAATACTGTCGACAGCCATAAAATAAATCTATTTTCATCATGTTTTTATGAATAAAATGTTGTATAAATGAGTCTGTGAATGCTGTGTGATCAGACCCCTCTGTGTTAACCTTTGGCTCATACTGCAGGTTGTGACGAAGCGGGAACATAAAAGAACCAAGCATGCTTCTAGTTTCTTCTTGTTAAAGTGCTTTAAAGATAAACTCAGGACCGACTCTTCAAACCGAGCCTTGCTACACACTTCCACGCTCGCTCTGCTGAAGCGGCTCTATTTCTACTCTTTGCAATCAGCATGATGTGGGTCAGGTGTGAGGAGCTGGAACAAGCACACACACCTGAGCTCTTTACCTGAAATCACAAAGCTTCAGAGACCAAAGGTTTGCATGAGCCCTGCTCACATGTTTTATATGGATACGGATTAATGGATCAGCTTCAGAGCTTCTGCATCATCCATCAGGAAAGTATTTATAGTTTTAACTGCGGCTTCATTTGTGGTGTTCAAGCAATTCACAAAAAACACTGAAGTCATTACGTCACTCGCATGTTCCTGAGGGCGTGTTGAAGATATATGGCTGACTTTACTGATATATCATTAAAGTCTACAGTTGACTCTGTGGATTTGTTCAGTATTTTATCTTCATAAATCAGACTTTAAAGTTGCGCTGATCTCTGATGTTGGGTTGCACCAACAAGGACTCGTTTTTAAACAATGTAGCATTTAGTTAAGGAGCAGAGTCCTGCAGAACGAGTCCAAAACCCTTTGAAATGAATAAGCATGTGTTTTGATTCATTGACTGACATAATTTTATGTTATAGAAACATTTTGTGTAAAATCCTCATCATTCAGAACAACCCTCTGAAAATCATAATTATAACGACAGAACAATTGTTCTCTTCTGAATGAACCGCACATTCACGTCCTGTAGGTAACCAGCTGACGTGATCAGTTACATCAGCTGCTGCTGATTGTAGAGCAGTGCATTGTGGGTATTCTGCTGAAGTTCTGATGGCACCTGTTCGATCACTGAACGGCGCCTGAAAGTGTGACCTGGATGTGTCAGACAACAACAAACTCTTTTTCACGTTCTACAGCAGGAACGAGGCCAGAGGCTTCGCTCGGTTCCACAATGAATCACGATGGAATGACGACGTATCGCAGGCTGGAGAGCAGAGAGAACCAATGTTCTCCGTTACCACGTCAACAGCTCTTACAATCAACAAAAGACGAGATGACGGAAACTTCAGAAACACAAAGTTGACCTTGTTAATTCATCAGACGGGCTTTATTTTCAGCTCTGATGTGTTTACTTTTAGTCTTTTTCAGAGACAGTTTCCAACGAATTATGGAGTTTTTCACAGATGGAATTTTACACCTTTTCTAGCTATTCATGAAACACACAAATTAATGTTAAATGTCTGAGCTCTTGAATGTCTTAAGAGCTCAGATTATTTAGACGCATTCGACATAGTTTCCACTTCGCCTGGATCTACGGAAAAATATTCAGCTTCTCATTATGACTTTTCTTTGTCATAATGAGAAGTCCTCAATTATTATCATGCTTTGTTTTCTTGTTTTCTTGGTGCATCATCATCATGGTGTGTTTTAGTTAAACATGGTTTGTGCAGAAGGTATTCAGTCAAAAACTTGAATAATTGCAATAATCAAAAAGAATAATAACCTGTTTCCCAGGTCAAGAATAAACTTTCTCTCTCATTGATAAAATAGTTTTGGTCCAGAAATCGACAGAAGCTGGACAAGCGAAGCGTCTGTGGTGAGTGACTCTCGCATCCAGACGAACTTCCGCCTGCTTTGCAGACATGGAGGTCACGTGAGCGTCTTGCGGATTGTTTTGCAGAGTGAAATGCCACTGAATCCACAGAGGAGGATGTAATCCGCTTCACTTCCCTGTTTTGTTTTGTCTGCCGCCGGTTTCCTCCGCAGCCAATGAAAGCGCTCGGAGAGATTTTGTGTTCAGTAGAAGAAGCGTCTCAAAGCGCCTCTTCAGCTTTCATCTCTGCTGAGTGCGTCCTCTGACTCGTAAGCAGCAGCTGAACACACAGCGGCTTCTGTCGGTCGCACCGCGTCCGATCAATAACCATTTCTAGCCCAGGAGTCCCTCAAACTCTGTCAATCTGAGGATTGATCCTCTAAACACCCGTGTGTGTGTGTGTGTGTGTTTATTTATGCCTCTGAATGTGTGTTTACCATTAGCTTGAGTGTGTGTGTGTGTGTGTGTGTGTGTGTGTGTGTGTGTGTGTGTGTGTGTGTGTGTCCGTCCTGAGGCCAGAATAAGTAGTGGGCAGTCTGTGCACTCTGGGTAATTAGACGGCTCTCCAGAACAAAGCGATGACTTTGTTTGGATCCCTTCCCTTCCTACATTTTGACCATTTTTAGCATAGCAGCTAAGTCGATGCACCTTTTTAGTTCTTTCTTTCCATTTTCTGTGGGATGGATTCTAATAGCGTTGGTGAACCCTTAACCTCTCATGTTGCGCCATCTTCAGGTCTGATAACATTCCCATCAGCCTTGGCTCTACTTTTTGTGTTTTAGGGCTCTGAGCAGGTGTTGGCATGCTAACATGCTAAACCTAGATAGTGCACATGGTAAACAGTTTACCTGCTAAAAGTCACCGCATAAACACGGTCATGTGTGTTGGCATGCTGATGTAACCTTTTAGCACCGTTGTGCTGTCGGCTCTTAGACTGATAACATGAGTTAAACAAACGATAATCATTGGGTAGTGTGATCACAGATTCATTCACTAAAATCAGACAATCAACATGTGGTGGGACATCTATCTCAGTCTATACGATATTCAGAGCATTAATATAGCAGCAAACAAGCATTTGCTGTAAATATAAAGAGCAGTAATGTGTACCTGAGCAGTTAATGAAGTCTCTCTCGCTCTGCGTGTTTTGTAATCCGAGTTTCTCTGTGCTTCTTTTGTATAGCCGGTGTTAGCGTGCAACACTGGTTAGCTCACGGCCGCTGCTCTGCTGCTCTGATATGGCGGTAACAGCTGATCACTTAGCCCAGTATCATGGTAGTTTGTGAAGTAGTCATGAAATGCAATCTATTGGTTGTGTGTACACGGACAGGAATTGTCTTTTCCGTGTCGCTCAGAATGAAAATAATGCCAATGGAAAGTCAATAAGGATCCTTATTCATGGTGGAGACATGAATTAAATGCATCCACGTGACTAAGCAACAGTCAGAGCTACTGACGTAGTTTATAATATCCAAAAATACAACTATTGGTGGACGGTGGGGAGGTGGATGATTCCAACAAACTGGACTTTCAACCAGAAGACCGCTGTTCGACACCACGTTGTGGTTTTATGGTCGTGGTTTTGTTGCCTAAAGTCAATTTTTGTTTTTTACGCAGTGTCGCAAAAGAAAGAAAAGTTGTTCCGAGGGACACGACAAAAAACAGACAACTCGTGTCCCTGCACACAAAACCAATAGGTTGCATTTCGTGACCATTTCACAAACTGCCATGAGACCGTGTCGGATAGCGCCGTTCAGACAGACAGTGCCCACCCTCCGGTTCCCCCACAGGTTAACACAGTTAACTCTGTCAGCGCTGTTGTCATTTTCTGCACTGTTAGCGTCGTTGGCTGCTAGCTGTCGGCATGCTGAGAGCCGCGTGGAGGCACTCTCCTGATCATAGATGTGCTCTGAATTTTGAATTTAACAGCTTTAACTTGATATCACTTCATTTGCTTTAATTAATATTAATAAATTATTATTTTGGTAATTAAAACCGGTGGAAAGGTAGAATTGTACCGTTTGCAACAGAAATGTAGGGCTTCATGCGAAACATAAATTCTACATGTAGCAGCTGTAAACATGTTGATTCTCCTGTTTAATGTCATTAGATTTTTATTTTAAAAGGTACGATGTACATTAATCAACATTCAAACAAATGTAAGAGTGGTAGTGGAGTTAGCTGAAAAGGCATTTTTTTCTGTGGACTGAACGTGTTTACTGTTGGACAGAAATAGCTGCAGCCGGCGGCCATGCTGCGAGCTGTGACACAGGGGACCATGTGCTGACTTCATCTGACGGTACACTTTGAGCCTGCTACTGTATCCTGAAATCCACTCGCAGCGCTACGTTTTCAGGCTGGAATACAAGTGCAGAGTGTGTGGTGGGAGTGGAAAGAGAAGAGAATGCTTTTGCATCATCTCTGGCTGTGATGTCGTGAGGCTTGCCAGCGGTTGGTAGAGCTACGTTTTAAAATGGGAACATTAGAACGTCACTTTGTGAGAGTTTCACCTCCTGAAAACATCGTCATGGACTCAAATCTGTCGCTTCAGCTAGTTGAATATTTGAATTCGGCCTTCGCTGACTGTGAGCTCTGAACTCCCAGCATCCTTTGCTCCTCGCTGTTTCTTCCAACTCAGTGCAGTTTGTGTGTGTGTGTGTGTGTGTGTGTGTGAGTGATTGGGCCAAATTTTCTGCTCCAGTTTTGCAGCCTGTCCACTCAGCCTGCTGCACTTTGGTGAAACAGACTCATCTTAAATCAGCCAGCTGGATGGCAGCAGCAGGAAGTGTTCAGGCCTGCGTTATGAGTGATGGCATTGCAGAAATGTCAGTTTTCCTTCACATGCCAGCGGGCTGAGATGTTTTCAACATATTATTACATTTATTTGTGTAGCAATGTTTCAACATACCTTAAATTGACTAAACAACAGCACAGGGAGTTTTGTACTGAACTGTTCTTCGGTGGACAACAGTCGGTGCTTCCTGTCTCGTCACAGTGAGGTTTGGTGCTTATACACAAACCAAAATCTAAAAAATGAAACCTTGGTGAACAAAATTGTCAGTAACTCCCCACAAAGTGTCTATCAGGCTAGCTGTTTCCCGCATGCTTTCAGTATTTATGCTAAGCTAGGCTAACAACATCCTAAATTCTGCTCAAAACAATATTTTAATGACAGAAATGGGATGGATATCAATCTTTGCGTCTAACTCTTGCAATATATTTTCTTTCTTTTCCATTTGTTAAAACACAAAATCCACAAGTGCTTTTTTGTATAATTTGCATAATGGAATCACTCAATAGCTCGTTTGTAATGATAAATTAGTTTAGCTGTGACAAGGATGTGCAGAGTAATAACATCAGAGCATGACTGCATCGCAGGGTTGCTGTAAAACAAATTAGACAAGGGGTTGTTTTGTTTGTTCAGGTATTAGTTCAGATATAATACATTGAAACATGCATAAACACAGATATTTATGTCACAGAACATGTAAATGTGCACATTTATTTGGGTTTTCTGCAGGTATGCATGCTTTAAAACCTGAAAGAAACGCATCTAAGGGAAGCTCTGCGGTCGTGCTGCTCATCTGAAGAGCTGCTGTGTCGTTCAGGTGAAGAACTGAGAGTCAGAGAGCTGCAGCAGCTGAACGAGCTGGTTGTTTAGTGGCTGTAGATCAGGTCAGTAACACTGTGATGAGGCAGAACTGATTTAAAATGGAGGTCAGGGTGACACGGGAGGGGGAGGTGGGTTGTAGCCTCAGGCTGCATTCAGAATGGGACATCTCTGCCAGCGTCCCTCCAAAACCATGTTTCTCCCCAAATGTCATCTTTTAGGAACAGTGCTGCTAATGCCAAGTCATGCATTTTCGATTCATTGTCCTTCCAGCCAGGTTTATTTTTATAGGTCAGTATCACATGTACTTCCCCCTCGGTTCAGTTTGTTCCCCACAGAAAGAAATCCAAGTGTAACCAAAAGGCATCAATGAAACCAGGTGAGAACGCTCACTCAGCTCAGTTCAGCCCAGAAGAAAAAATCAAAACCAAATCCCTCAAGATGTTTGACACACTTGGACGACATATTTATGGGCTCTTCAAAAATGTCAGATGCCGTGGATTTGAGAACCATGTGCCAGAGAGCTAAAGAGGTGGAATACATTGGCCGAACCTGGGAACCCACCGGATATCGTCTGGTGATGATTTCAACTTTTATTGGTTTAAAATGAACTTGTAACTGGCTAGTTGTAAAACAATCCGTCTCTGAACTCCAGCTCTAGTCTCGCATCTCAGGTTGCCAGTTGGACTGTGAACAATGAGCAGCGCATGGAAAAGGAAGTCCTTTCCCGGATATCCGCTGGCTGCACCGGAACCCCGGATATAAAGCCCTTTACCCCCAGAGACCTATCCGTCGTCAGACCGATGGCCGATGGGTTCTGAGATTGGGCATCTACAGGCTATGACCTCGTCACTCCCCAGGAGGACAGTCCAATGAAGTCACTGCAAATCTCTTTCCAGGACAGCAGAAAAATGGTGGCTTGTTTTGTTGCTCCTTTGCAGCCAGTGTGGTCATTCTCTCTGTAGCCTTACTCACGTGGTCATGATCTGAAGATGGTTCTGCATTTTTTTTGTGCACACTTCAAAATAAGCTCTAAAGGCATTTCCTGCAGTAAAAACCTGCTCCTGGACTTCTTTGTTTGTGTGGAGGGGAAATAAGCTTCTCATGACCGAATGTCCTGAACCCAAACTGTAGTTAGTGCTCCTGCAGCTCCTCCTGCTGTCAAGTCAATTTTCCAATGGAAGGGGAGTGAGAGCGTCCTAGCAGGACGGGGAGTCGGGCAGTGACAGCTTTAACCTTTAACGTGTCATCTTGGATGGCAGGAACACAGAACCTGCAGGCCGGGCTCACCACTGCTCAGGGAGCCAGGGATTTACTAGGACCCCTGGACCTCCTGGAGACCTCCATCTGCCTGACCAGAGAACCAGGAGAAAAGGATTATTACTGAGAGAAAGCTGAGATCATACGTTGACAGAGACGAATACAATATCTGGGCACTTTTTACACAGACCTTTTTAATCATGACAAAACCAATGAGTAAGAGAGAGGCCACTTTAATGGAGCAAAATATCTGTCTCTTTATCAGTGTAGTCCTCCATTTTATTCACCAGCTAATTGGTATGTTCTGTCTGCTGTTTGCGGTTGAGCAGGTAGTGTACTGAGAGTTTATCGTAGCTTATTTATTTAACAGAACAGCTGTTGCTGGAAATGACAGATGAGAGCGCTGTGCGGGTCGTTAAATGTTCCCAAATGAAGCGAGCTTTCACAAATAGTCATATGACCCATTGTTATTATGATCCATTGTTATTATGAATATATTTTTGCAGCTTTACTCACTTAAAAATCCTGACGGCATCATCATGGAAGCGTAACGCCCACCCTCAGGTTCCACCTCAGGGTAACACTGTTGCAGTTGTTTGCACTGTTAGCTGCAAGCCACCGACTCAGCCATGTTGAGACGTTTGGAGGCAATAGGTACGCTATGACTTTTGTGTTGAGCACCTTTAAGAAAGGAGAGGATCCTGTGAAGAGCAACGATGGTGACAGTGAATCCTCAGACTGTGAGAGAGAGAGAGAGAGAGATATTAATTTAGACGTGCCAAAGAAAATACAGCACGAGGCAGATCGGCTGCAGAGGAGGGAGGAGAAGCAATTTAAAGGATTTAAAGGACGAGAGTAGAGACACGGAGAGGAGGGGAGGCCGGAGTGAGGAAGGAGGAATTACTGCAGAGAGAAGACAGCGCGAGGCGGAGAGACGGTTGAAAGAGAGCTGAGCAGTGTGTCGGTGTGTGGGCGAGTGGGACTCATGACGCGCCAGAGAAAGTGAGACTTTGAGAAAGAAATCTGACAAGAACTCATCCATCTGTTCCTTCAGGGAGCTTTGCTCATCTTATATCGCTTTTCCCCCCATTTCGGGGGAAAAGACTCACCAGACACAAATTTGATCGTCGATTAATAACGTTGTACAAATACTTCTTCACTGGACGCCACTGTTGAGTGATCAATCATGTGATTCGTTAACTCAGCAGCTTGTGGGGTTGAGGGATTGGAGAGTCGGTGGTTGAGGGAGGCAACTGCTGAACACAGTGGAAAGAAGTGGTGTTAATCTTGTGCATGTTCACTCTCAGGGAAAATACATGGACCTGAGAAAGATTTCACTGAGGTCTTTAAAGATTGCATTTAAAAAACAGGGTGAGTGCAGATCGTTTAGGAGTCTTGGTAGTGACTAAACCTCAAATGATTAGGGAACTCGTTAAATTGCAAGAAGTCTTCCCTCAAATGGGAGCATGTCAATGTTCCCTCAGCTTTATGTTCCCTGAATCTTATGGTTCCTCAATGGTATGTTTCCTCAGTCCTATGTTCTCTCAATCCTGTTTCCTTAACCCTATGTTCCCCTCAGTCCTATGTTCTCTCAATCCTATGTTCCCACAATCCTGTTTCTTCAACTTCATCTTCCCTCAGCCATTTGTTCCCTACGCCCTATAAATCCTATGTTCCCTGTGTTTTTAACATGGGGCTGAGGGAACATTGGGCCTAATTTGCATGGGGGAAAAGTAGAGGTGCTTGAGGAACTTGGGTTAAAGGAACAAAAGGCTGACCCCCACAAAATCACAGAACAGGTAAAAATAAGTTTTCTAGGTTAACATTGTTCATGGTTAAAATAAACCAATGTTAGCTGTTGGTTGGAGATGAAAACCCTCTTAAATTGAACCCTGAAAAGAGGTCCAACGGTGTTTGTGCAGGGCCAGAAATAAAAGGACAAATGTGAGAATGGCGGGTGGATTTTCTTTTTTTTTTTAACAAAATAAGAGATTTCCAAATAGCACAGCAGCCTAGGTCGGGGAACGAGAACAGATTTCACAGTGATTGAGATCAGGGATTTACACGGTTAGAAGATTAGCTTTTTACTGCCGTCACAATGAAACTGTGTCTAAAAGGATTGAGACACTTGATTCCAAATCCTAACGGGTACGTTTGAAAGGTCAAGAAATCCATTTAACTTCATTAATGTAAAGATGAAGTGATAGGAACGATGTCTGTGGGTGTTACGGGACATCTCCTCATCTCCTCGTGGTTTTTCCTCAAGTCGTCTCATTAAGGAATTTAACACGTTCAACTCATTTTAAGACCCTTTTCCACCTAATTTTCCGACACTCTGGGTGGATAAACCTGTGTTCTGCCTGGGCACTGGTGCCATTGTTCTTATGAAGTGATGCTGGAAGTCCACAGCTGGCTGATCAGACTCCCTTTTGTGCTTCCCTGACTGCAGTTTGCAGGTCAAATTAAGTCTTTTGTGCGACCCAGAACATTTCCTCCAGGTTGTCTCGGCCCTGCCCCAGCTCTTCAAACACTGAAACCACACGCCCGGCAGCGAGAAAGCATGCCTTTGGTTGAAAGGAAGCCATTGTCTGCTCAGATGATTGTGAGTCATTGTACTGGCAGCGCAAGCCAGGAGTCAAATGGTGTGATGTAGCAGAGAGACCTCCATTGTGGCCCGTATAAAGCTGCGGCAGGAACGGCGGCCCTGGCAGATTCCGACCGTTGGACGTTCGGAGGGACTTTTGCATGAATAGTGGAGTAATTCAGTCGGCGGCGTCGAGGCGATTAACATTTTGAGTGGATTCACCGCCGGCTCTGTCCCATCCTCAGGGCGACTCTGTGAGTAGCCAGCAGGACGTCTCTGGGTGGTCGGCTTTGTTTGGGAGGAAAAGGTCACGTCTGCTGTCAGAGACGTGACAGATTTCAAATTAACAGATTGAACAAATAGATGTTTGTGTCGACCACATTAATGAGGAAGAATCGCAAGTTTTTTTTAAAATCACCACATTTGAAAAGATGATTTTGAGAGATTCTGATTAATGGCAAAGAGGCCAATTTATAATATTTTGCACATTTCAAAATGCCATGCATACTAGTAGAATAATCATGTTTGTTTAACCGGAGACCGGAGTTATTTTTATTGCTCATACCTTCATAACTAATTCCATGGACAACAGAAAAAATACATTTAACATTCATCTCGATTTGACATTCGTCAGCAGGACGTGGCATGTGCTTTATAAATTGCATAATACAAGTAAAATGGGAAAATACATGGAACGATTTAGAATAACTGAAGTAACCACTAAATGTTACAGTTAACACGTGTTTCAAGTTTAGATTTAGGGTTCATATGGACAGAAATAATCATATTTGGTCCCATTTGAAGACAGTTAAAACTATATAAGAAATATATATTGGGAATAAGTTGTTTTTTTCCCAATATGTAGAAGTGTAGAGATGGTTTTTTGGTTTAGATCCAAGAAAATTTGGATCAATGCACAATTTTAAAAGGGATTTCGGAACACGGTGAGGCCCTTTGGAACATCCTCACTATTTCCTCATGAACTGCTGCACATAGTTGCACATGTATCCAGATGATTGTCTGTCACTTCGAGCCTTTAGATGCAGCTTCAGATATAAAAACTCTAAATGTGAGGACTGTGTTTTGAGATAAAGTGTGCGCCTCTTTCTAGTCATGAATCTAAGATTGTTGCTTTTTTCAGTGACAGTAAATAAACACTTAAAGTATTTCCTTGTCAGAATACTGTCATGGATGGAAAACAGATCTTTAGATTTCAGGCTGTTCTTTTTCTCCAGTAAATGCAGAAGTTTGGAGATTCAGAGGCAGGATTTAAAACATGCACAGCACTTTTATTCTGGCTCTTCCTAATGAGCAGAATAAACTGCCAAGTTGTTTTTGGCATTTTTACGCATCAACATACAGACTTCATATTTCAAACAACAAACGGTTCCGTTCTTCAGTTTCTGCTCCTAATAAGCCTGATTTGTTGTGGTGTTGGAGTCCTCTCCCCCACCGAGCAGACAGATGGTGAAATCCATGGTGTGTGTGTGTGTGTGTGTGTGTGGCCTGCCCCCATACAGTGCTATTTGCAATGACTGTCTCCCTACAGCTCTTAATCACATGAAATGGAGTCATTTTACACGTAGCACTACAGATCCCAGGATTTCGTCAAGTTGGCAAAATAAAATACCATGTTCTACATGTTTCATACTTTCTGCAGCCGTTTGGCAACACATTGTCAATCCCAGCTCGTCAAAAACTGAAGGCTGGTCAATTTCCGCTTGTTACATGAATACAGTCTTTTCAAAATCTGTCTTCACAGAAACTCTGTTAGGTTTCGGCAACAAAACTACTTCGTTAGGTTTAGGAAACGTTCGTGGTTTGGGTTAAAATACCAACAGAAGTGACGTTACTGAAGTACGCAAGTTACCTGACGGATGAAACGTTGACTTCTTGTTTCACACGGGGAACAGACAGCGGCCTCCTTGATGAAAACATGCTGTTTGTCGGACCCATCCGTCTCCCCACCCACCAGCAGTGTGTGCTTTCACGGTCTTTATACTTCCTCGTTCACTGTTACGTGGATAACATACAAAATTATTTCGTGGGACATCTACGAATTACAGCGCATTCTGTTTCTGTTTCCCTTGTTCACAGGAAACATTACACAGTTTGTGCTCGCATACAGTCTCTTTGTACATAAAATAAGTAGGCTACGTTTATTATGTGAGTTACGTAAGTTACGTAACAGGATTACAGTCACACTTTAGGTGACATGGACAGCGGTCTCCTAGGTGAAAGTCCTGTGTTGGTTTGACCCATCAATCCATCCACGTTTCAAACACATGCTAAAGGGCATCTCCCTGCGGCGGTATCAGTCTCCCTGCGTCGGTATCAGTCTCCATGCGTCGGTATCAGTCTCCCTGCGTCGGTATCAGTCTCCATGCGGCGGTATCAGTCTCCCTGGCGCACTGAACCAGCTACGGTGATTTGACAAGTTGGGAGTAAGAACGGGTTGTTGGCGACTGCTGCTGGCTTTGTCGTGTTATTCTTAATTACTTAAAGAAATAATCTCAAAGCTTTTCATTATAATAAATGTCTGTTTAGTCACCACATATTTCTAGATGAGGTGACACCGTGGTGACTGAGCCTATGACCCACTGAAGCCTTTGCATGTGCAGTATCACCAACTGGGTTTCTCACTAACCTGAGTAAATTATATAACAAACTTCTTCAAGCCGAACCTCAGTGGTATAAATTTGGGCAGATAGTTTTGGTTTTTATTTGCCGAGGTTTAGAGACATTTTAATTTACATCTCGGAGACCAATGCTGCTGTTTAAGAAATACATATTTACACTGTTACACTGCAAAATGGTTAAATAGGTTTATCAGGGAATGTAATTTTCCCTGGATTAGGTTCACTGGTAACGTTTGTTCCACAAGTAGCTCCAATGCAGAAGTAGCATGTAGAAAGTATTAAACTGTATTACCTCCATCTCTGGAAAGGTGTGAACGCAATCAGCCAGCTACAGCAGTCATTAAGGGAATCAAACAAATCGATGTGATAGGTTGTCTCAGTAACAGATATTTTAATTTCCTCCTGCTCTTGGCAGTCAGCCTTCCTAATGAAAAGTTCTTAATGTGAGAGGTGAAGAAGGAGAAAGTGCTGAGCGTCTCCAGGAGAATGAAGGATGAACATCAGACAGATTCAGACTACTCTTCCTGTTTCGATTCGGTTTTCTTCTCCGTAGCGTTTGAGCTCTTCATGTTTGAATAAGCTCTGAGAGAGGAAACCTCCTGCTGGGAGGTTCTCTGAGGACCATGTGCTTCACTTTGAGAGAAAAATGCAATATGGGAGATGTTCCATGAATGCATGGCTGTTGCATAAGACTTCTATGAGCTTCTTCTTCTTGCTCTCTTCCTTTATGAAAGCTTATGCACGGCTGTCAGATTCTGCACTTTCTGTCTCTGAACAGAAAAGTATGTACGCTGGTGCAATAAATTCATTTATTAAATCTCAGAGAGAGACTCCTCTTCATCAACAAACATCTTCAGAAGAAGAGCATTGCTCAAAACATCACTGTCATTTGTGGTGATGTTTCATTTATTTCTGTCAGGAGCTTCCAATTAAATCAAGACTTATTGTTTTGCAGTTGTTGCTCACTTTTGAACATTTGTTTTTTGTAGAATGTGCTAGCTTCTTATAGTACTTCATCAAAGTAAATGATTCTGTTTCTATAATACTAAAAGACATTTATCTTTCCCTTTTGTTGCAGAGGCCAGAGATCCAAAATGGGAGGCAAGCTCAGCAAAAAGAAGAAGGGATACAACGTAAACGATGACAAGGCCAAAGACAAGGATGCCAAAGCGGAGGGGGCCTCTGCTGAGGAGAGCGAAGCACCAAAAGACAACAAAGACGAGGCCCCGGCTGCGACCGACGCTAAGGAGGTAGCGAACGACACGGCGGCCAAGGAGGCGCCGGCAGCAGATGCTGCAGCGCCAAAGGAGGATGAAAAGAACACCACTCCCGCCGCCAAGGAGCCCGAGAAACCTGCCGCCAACGCCGAGCCGAAAACAGAGGCGCCCAAGAGCGCGGAGCCCGCCAAGGCCGAGGAGAAACCAGCGGCCCCCGCCCCGGCCAAAGAATCGGCCCCTGCCGCAAAGGAGCCCGAGGCGAAGGCCGCGGCCCCTGCCCCGGCGGCTGAGAGTAAAGATGAGGCCGACGCCAGAAAGACTGAGGCCCCCGCGGCACCAGCAGCCAAAGCCGAGGCGGCCTCCGCTGACCCCAAGCCCACAGAGGCGGCGCCAGCGGCACCGGCGGCCCAAGCGGCTCCCGCACCGGCAAAGGAGGCCGCCGCAGCCCCTAGTTCAACACCAGCCGCCGAGCCTCCCGCCAAGGAGGCGAACGCCACAGAGGCACCAAGCAAGGATCAAACCGTAGCAGTTCAAGATTAATGGACAGCTTCTTTTCGGAAATGAAAAAATAAAGTACCTAACTCAACGACGATGAAGATAAAAAAAGATGAAATTAACTAGCCCGCCCATATTATGATAATAATAATAATAATTGTAATGATAATGAATTGTTGATTGAGGAGGACTGGAGCAACCACCTGGAGAAGTTTCCACCGCTGCAGATGATTATTGCTATTATTATTGTTATGTTTTACTCTATTTTTTTCTGCTGTAGTATTTGAACTTTGATACGAGTCTGTGTCGGCCATGTACGCCTCGCCATTCCACATCCATCATCCCTCTCCTTCATACGCCAAGACGTTTGACCTGACTCCCATCTCGGCTCTCAGTAGGCCTGCGTTCAAACATTCACCTGCAGCTCTGTGGATTTCAGAATATCTAAATTTGGGGGACTGAGGGAAGGGTTTGAGAAATCACTTTACCAGCTGGACCTCAATTGAATCTGTCCACTCTTCATGCTCTCGGCCTTGGCCCGGTGCCTCCAGTTTTGTTGTGTTGCTACAGATTTTCCTCTTGGCGGTTAAACGCCACTTTCTCTAGACGGCAACATTTGACCCTTTGTGAGGACTGAGAATGCTCAGGCTTCCTAAGACATTTCGGAGGTTGAACAAAGCAGACTTTGCAGAGCAAAACACATTCTTAGACGTATAAAACAGTCGTAGGAATTTTTTCAGATAACCTTCTAGATTTTGTACTGGAACCCTTAGGTATATTGTAAGTGAACTAAGAGGTTTTTTAACATTTGTAAAACACTTATAAAATCTGAAAAGCCTCGCTGAAATGATCCCCTGAGTGTTCTTAGAAAGTCTGACGGAAATCTCTGATCCTCCAAACAAATCTGATGACAAATTTGAAATTTTGTTTTAGAAGACATATCTACCGCTGACCTGGGTGAGATGAGCTTAACCATCACGCCCTACACTTTGTTTGATCTCGCTTAGAACGCCAAGCTGGTGACGTTAACTGCATCATCGGGAGAAAGTCGGGAGTGAAACCTCTTTTCTGTGATTGTCTTCTGTTTCTGGACTCAATCCTTCAATTACCTGAGTACAAGTACACATACTTGGATATACAGCAAGTCAAAGTCCTACGTTCTACTTAAGTCAAGGATTAGCAGCAAAATGTACTTAAGAAGTGAAAGTATATTGTTAAAGGTTGTTGATATAGTAGACAACGATGGAAATGTTGACATGTGCTAACCACATGTTGCCGCCGTTCTAAAGAGAATCACAAATTTAGAGGAAACCCCCCCCCCAAAAAATTCAAATTAAAGACCCTTCCACCAGTAGATCCCTTTTAAATTGGCATATAGTGTGAAACATCATCAGCAAACAGTGTGTCCTGAAGCAAACCTCACCAGTTTGGTGTCTAAGCAGGTGGAAAGCAGACGAGCTGCTCTGTGAACCCATGTAGCTCTTGAGACTCTCAGTCTGATCCCGTCGAGGTGAAGAGATCAGAGTCATCGCCAACACTACTCGATCTACACCACGCTGTCATTATGGGATGGGAAAGCCTTGCACATGAAACGGGAGCTTTTGATTTTGTCATTTTCACCCCTCATGCATTGTCCTTTACTTTTCAAAAAAATATATATATGACGTATGTGTACATAGATGCAGCGGGGGAAGAAAAAAGGTACTAACATGTTTTACTCATGTAGAGTCAGTATTACTGTCGAACAATACTCACAGCACTCCTGCATTGTCATATTTACTTTAAGTAGTGATAGTGAAGAACAAAGTTTACTATTGTCAAGCTTTAGGATGCTTTTGGAAGCTTTATACAGTTGAGTAATCAGTGAAATGTCGTCTTTTCTTGAGATTAATAGAAAGTCTGTCAGATAAATACATTGGAGTAAAACTTACAAATTCCGCTTATATTGGACTGAACACGAGTGTTTCACAAAGCGAAGGTCTCAGGTACAAGCACCTTCAGATTATAATTAACTTGAGTGCTCGAGTAAATGTGCTTCCCTTGTTTCTACTTTTGCATATATGTAGATTCATACTGCATGTATATATTTATTCATCTCAATCATCCATTTGCCAACTTTTCAGTTCCATCCGACTGACGCACAATGTTTTCCTCCCGGCACCATTCAACCCGTAGCAGAAACAACCACTGGAGGAGCGCTGCGTGTCACTCGGTTCAGTTGTTCTTCCTCTCTTGACTCAGTAAATTGCATGTCCGTGGTTGGGTGAACCTGTAGTCCTGTCTTTTTGGTCAAGTGGAAAAAAAAAAAAAAAATTCTTTCTCAGTCTGCATCCGTGGCAACTACAGTTGATATTTTCATTCCATGTCTCACATCGGCTATCTCCACACCACACGCTCATTCAAGAACAAACAAAAAGAAGATATGGAAATTGATGCATTCAAAATTATATGTACTTGTATAAATGGTGCAACAGTAATAAAATGTAAGAAATTGACTGAAACTCAAGGATTTTGTGCAAGTCAACTTTTTTTCATGCACTCACAAGTTATTGTATAATTGGAGCTTAGAGAATTCCTCTAAGCTCCAAGCCAATCGGTTCCTACACTCTAAGAAATTGGGGATCCAAAAGGCTTCTTCCTGAAGGGCTGAGGTTCTAACAAGATCTATCTGCTCCTGAAGAACCCTTTCTGAAGAAGAGGGCTTTCATGGGTTCTTGTAAGACTAGGGGTTCCATTAAGAACCCTTTCATCCAAAGCATCCTTGTTGGAAGAAAGAGTTCTTCAATGATTGTTGAAAGCATGACTTGAAGGTGAAGATCTTACTAGACCACACTCCGAAAAACTGATTCAGAACCAGGATTGTTGTGGGTTAAGCTGCATCAACCATGGCCCTTTAGGAGCCTCTTGAGGAACCCCAGGTGAGATCTAGTGGAAACCCTTGGAATATAAAAGGGTTCTCGCTAGAACCTGGTGTTTTGGTTCTCGTGGAAACCCTTGGAATAGAACAGTGTTCGCTATAGAACCCTTTGTGTAGTTTTTAGATGAAAACCTTTGGATATAAACGGGGTCTCAGATAAACCCCCTGGGTGGGTTATGGAATAAGCTCCTGGAATATAAAAGGGATCTTGATAGAACCCCCTGGTGGGTTACATAGGATACCCTTGAAATATGAGAGGGTTGTTGGTAGCACTCTCTGGGTGGGTTCTGATGGAAACCCTTAAAAAAAGGGAGGTGAAGAAAGTGGTAGCTCAAGATCTAGACAGTGGTGCCCAAACCAGAGCGAAAATTATGCTACTTCTAAACCGCACCAATACACCACAGTCTCAATGATATCACTCAGTGTGTGTACTTGCTCCTGCATACTTGCAAATGCAATTGGTATTAAAACGGACTGCTAATCATCTATTTCTGAAGTGTGCTTTGCCCTACCTTTACCTCTCGAAAGGGTAAAACCGTTCAGGCTCATCTGTGCAAAGTGCTTCTCAACAGTTGAACACTTGAACCGCCTGCTGGCACAGTTTCAGCAGCACTCAGCCTCGGAGCCATTAATACCAGCAGTTATTTTAGGGTTGTTTTTAGCGTGAGTTGTGGGTTTATTAATCAGCGATGGATTTACTATCCACTGATGGATGGACAGACTGATGGATGAAATTGAGCTATTGTCAAGTTGTTTAAGTCATTTCTCAATGAGGAATAAATGTAAGGAGCTGTTTTAAGTCAATGGAATTGCTGATAAAACAAGCAATTTGAAGACGTCACCTTCGTTTTCGGCCGATAAATCTGCGCATCCTTAGTTTACATTGAAATGATTTGAAAGCCTTTTGCGTCTCATAAGGATGCTAAAAGGTGCCAGATGGTATCAGACGCAGAGGGGCGCCGAGCAAGCAGAGGCACTCGATGAGTTGGGAGTGAGACCGGGTTGAACGGGTATGTCTTTGGGTTCTGGACTCTTGGAAACCACATATTGGACTCTGAGGACTTGTCGTGCCCATTTTACAGACTAAATGATCAATCAATCAATTACAAAAAATGAATTCAAAACACTATGAGAAACAAGCTATCTACAGGCCTTTGTTTCCCATTCATACATGATGCTGGTACTGGTCAGTGTCAGAATCACTGTGTTGTTTGAGCCGACTGGGTTCATACAGATCACACACAGAGCACCTGAAGACCCCCACAAACCGTCTCTGAGGTTGTTGGTGCTACCAATAATTTCACTCCTCGTTATCACATGAAATAGATCAACTTGTCGGGGACATCAGAAAAAGGAGAACGAAGGAGGAACGAAGCCTCGCCAAGAGCGGACGATTGATGTCTTTATCTCTTCCTCTTTCTCGTGCCCCTCCCTCTCTTCGCGGTGAGGGAGGGGCAGTAAATCAAGGACCTAATCTCTCTGCTGTGATTTACGCCTGTTCAAACGCCGTTTCTCACTGAGTAAACCCCCCCGTACCTTTACTCAGACCACAACAAGGCTGGATAAGAAGTGAGGCGGTACAGAAATAGGAACTGGATGGGATGTATCTCATGAACCCAAAACAAGACCTGATTATGTGAAACTCCAGATCAAATGTAATGATAAAGTAATACTGGCCGTTACAGACTAGTTTCCTGGGTAGTTGGACTGGATTATAGTAGTTGTCGGATTATCTACTGGCTGGTCTGATGTTTCAGCAAATAGTTATTGTCTATTTGCCTTCATCAGGTCTTTATTAGCAGGGCAGAAATGTGCCGACACATTTTACTGCTACTTAATAGACTATTTCCATCTGAAATATAAATAAAATGACTTGTGTAGAGAGCACATTGTCACTTGTAGTCGGCAGTGAAAGACTCTTTTTCAGTAAATTCTAACAATATTGAACAAATGTTTGTTGTGTGGGCTGTTTGGAGGCGTGGTCATTGTCCTCATGACGTCCATAGAAAACATGATCCAGTTGGTATCGTGTTTCCTTTAAAAGATATTTGCTTTTGCAAATTAGTAGTATATGAAAGAGATTCCTAGGAGGCAGCGTGGGTTAGTACGACTCGCAGAACGTTCAATACTTTAAAGTTATTGTTGAATAAAAGAGAGATGAACAGGCATTAACTAGTTCATTTCCATAGAGACATGGCGATAAAGAGCAGAACGACAAAGACTCCAGGTAATGTGCTAGATTTCAACTCTAAAAACACGACCACACACACACACACACACACACACACACACATGCTTCCTCTCTCTAACATTCAAACAGCCTGCTGGATATCTGCAGTGATGCGTTCTGACATTTCTATTTTTGTTTTTATTTGAAAACACTTGTAAAGCTCGGTCTGTCTTTCTGTCTGTCAGAAATATTAAAATGCTTAGAAGCAGAAGCTCTGACCTTTAGCACACACACACACACACACACACACACACACTCCCCGTAGTGGTAACTACAGGCTACAGAGCTTCACATCAGCAGGCTTCATGCAGAGACAGAGAACTGGCAGAAGACAGCTGGCGAAAAAAGAAGCAATCGGCAGAATAAATGTTTCTGCAAACCACGAGATATGTTGAATGATGATGCTTACGCATGAAAGTTATGAACTGCACATTTACATAACACCACTTCACCTCTGTAGTTATTTAAACCCAAAACCACGACCTTTACAAAACCTAAGCAGGTAGTTCTGTTGCCCCGATGGCACATTGACCGCCTGAGTTGCTGGACACAGTCAGGACACCTCGCATTGGACCAGCCCGCCTGAAGAGACTCACAGGTCCAGTTATCTCTTTTAAATCACTTCTTAAACTCATTTGTGCGGACTGACTTTTATGTGATTTATGTCTTTTTAGTGCTTTTAATTGTTTTTATTTGTATTTGTATTCATTGTGTTGATATGTGTTTTGCTGTTTTATCTATTGTACTGTTTTATTGTAGTTTAAATCTTATCATAGTGTTGTCTTGCTTTTGTTTGGCATTTTTTCGTTGTATAATCTTGTATCCTGCTTCTGCTTTGCTTCGTCTGTCAGAAGATACGTTGACAGAGCATGCATACAAAGTGTGGGCTTCACACTTTATATGCATGCTTTACTGTAAATAAGAAGTGGACGTCACCCATCGGCATGTGGACTCGGTTTTGAAGCCTCGAGTCACCATCTTGGATTACGGCCGTCGCCATCTTGCCTTTTTGCAACGAGGAATGGAAGTGACCATATTTGGACTGTGGAGGAGTGACTGGTAGCGGCAGAGACCTGTCAATCACAGTAGCCCCGCCCCTAAAGCATCACCTGCTTTATGGTCTGTTTGACTCTAAATGGACCATAATGTACTAAATGAACATCATGCTGTAGTGAAGAAGACTTGAAACTAGAGATTGAGACCATAAACTCATGTTTACAATGTTTACTGAGGTAATAAATCAAGAGAGAAGTAGAGTCATTTTCTCATAGACTTCTATACAACCAGAGGAGTCGCCCCCTGGTGGACACTAGAGAGAATGCAGCTTGAACACATGAAGCTTTGACTTCCCTCTAAAGAACCGGAGGTTGTAGCCTGGGGCTACATCACGCCTGGCAAATGAGACATGGATGGCTTCAGATGAACTGTCTTATAATGGGATGTCAGTGTCCAATCACGAATACATAATCAAAATGTTTGTTTCACAGTTGATAGTGGATGGAAAGCGAAAGAGCTGATCTGACACCACCAGCCTCCAGCTCGTGTGAATCTCACAGCAGGCCTCACCAGAGAGGTCAGAGTCTTGTTGAGAAGCTCTTCATTTGTTCCTCTCTGTTCCGTTGCTCACTCGGCTCTCTTCTCTCCCTCCTCTCCGAGGTGACTGTCCTTTGAAGCCTGTGCGACGAACTGTGCGAGCACCACTTTCAAAGCGTCCGTGTCATTTAGCTTGCTGACTGTGAGCCGGTCCTTACCCAGCCTCCATCTCGCTCCATTTTCAAAGCCAGGCGTTGTGGGGGAGGATCAGAGAGAGGGAGAGGGAGAGGGGGAGGGAGAGGGAGAGGGGGGGAGAGCGGGAGCTAGAAGGAGGCGAGGCTTTGTGGAAGATCAGTCAGATCCTCCTGATGCGTGGATACTCTGGACCGGGGGGGCCTCTGGGCCAAATATGCAGAATCTGCCGGCATCTCAGCTCGGAGGCTGTCAGGGAGGATCTGTTGGGATGTTTGTCACCAGACATTCGTGTGATGGTAATCGGACACGTTTCAGGCTCAGGGGACACAGAAGAAGGATCTAATACAACGCTTTAGAATTGAGAACTTGTTTTTTTTTATTTCAGTGGTGTTGCTTTGAGGATGAACATGGAAGGTTGTGGTGTATTGCAGGTCCTAAGCAGCAGCATGTAACATGAGCACATATAGACTGAACATCTTCTGGTTGACTGGAATACTTCACTGTACATTGAATACAGCTACAAGCGATTACAAGTTAGGAAAGTAAACTAAGAAATTCATTCCAACATGCAGTGTTTTTGTGTTTTAAAGTTTGATTACTTGAAAAATACGTGAGTAGCCCCAACGGCACG